GTACCTTCTGTCACACATGTGTAAATGAAAATGTGTGTAGCACAGCACACCTTTTTGGATTAAGATTAAATTCCAGCACCGCCTGAAATGTCAAGCAGCCTATCTGTCGCTGGCTGGGTGGCATACATATAGTATTTATAATTACCGTCATCTCTTTATAGGCAGAAACTCGCTTCAAACCAGCACTAAATTCTACATATTTGTGTGCAAAAAAGCTTCAGCCGGCAAATGGGCTACCATTTATATGATTACTCTTTAGTACTACTTGTCGATCTACCTGTAGAGATATCTATGTACAAGTGCTTTTTAAGAGATAGAGTCAATCAACCATCGAATTTTCTCATTCGTAAAAAGAATTACAACTTTTGCAATAAACAGTAACTTGGCTCACATCACACGCTATAAAAATTTGAGCTCAGCCATGCAAAACAAATACTCCTCGGTTCAACAAAGGCGCAACATTGGATGCTCAAGGCCATGTTGTACGCGTGATTTGCACCTCGGCCTGTTACTCACCCGAGTTGCTTTTACTTTTTTTAGAAACTTCTTAGCAAGTATGGGTTCTAATTGAATGAAAATGGCTTAATATACTAAGTATACAACGTTGCGGTCTTTGCTTCTCCTTAATTGCCTGATCAAACATTTAGTGCGAACTTTGTTTAAACAGTGATGTACGTGCGAGCCTGTGGGCTCTTGGCCTGGCTTGCAAATTGCTGCACAGTTCGTTGGTTCGGTATTGCAGTGGCAATACAAGTATTTTTCACTTCACTGTGATTTATTATTTATACTCTTTTATTCACGAATGGCGGCTGATTTTTGTTGTTGTCATTTTTGGGCTTAATTAAAAAAACATTTGTTGTTCGCTTGCGGTTTCTTTACACAAAACTCTTTACCTCTTTACTTCACTTGTTGATGTTAGTTTTTGTTGGATCGGTTGTCGGTTTCGCGCCGTCACGCAAGCATGCAATCTTGTTTTCGTGGTTTGCGCACGCCTTAGTGGAAAAAGCAAAAGGCAGCTATACGGCTATACGTTAGAAATGGATGAGACTCTCTCGGCGCTGCTGCCTCGTAGACCAACCGCGTCGTACTAAAAGCGATCGACTCGCTTCTTAGTCTACTTATACGCGCCGCTGCTTGCAGCTTTAATTCACTGGCCAGCAGTCTGTCTACGTGCCAACCTGCCCACATTCAGGTTCATCTACAGTGAAACACGCTACAATAAAAAACACTTTTATTCAATGTCTCACACGCAACAATTATTATAAAAAAGCAACATTTTTTAAGAGACACTCTTAGTGCTCTGCTCGAAAATAGAAATGTTCATTTCGATGTAAAGCTTTTGCTTACCAATCGTGTTGTGTGATCCAACTTGGCTATTAGCTACTGTACCTGCCAGAGCTGATGAGCCATTCAACATTCAAGGCTAACTAACACTCTCACTTATCTCTTTACATGAGCTTGGCTGTTAGTCGGCTTGTTTCATATCTGAGTGCTAATTTCTTGGCGCATCAGCAGGCGGGACAGCTCCCAAATCTTCCGGTTCCATTTGTGTTTTGATTTGTGCTCGGGTGCTAATATCAATTTAGACACTGCATTTAGATACTGCAGCAATGACTTGGCATTATTCGAATTTGAAGTGCAAATTTATTTAATATGTATTATTGTTGATTTTGCACAATTTTATATTTTATATAAGACTTCCTCAATATACAACTGAAACTACGAGCAGACAGACTAAATAATTTGCACACAAATGCGTTCAAGTAACAATGCTACAAAAAAAAGAAAGTTTTTACTTCCATAAATCTGAATAAATTTAAGAATTTGTGTGCGACCTTCTTGATTAGAATTTAAGAATTTGTGAGCAAATTATTTGCTTGCCCGACCTTCTGAAATAAAATTAAAGTATTTGTGTGCAAATTATTTGCTTGCCTATCTCCTACTTAAAATCTATCAAACTATTATAAATATTGTCTACGACGCGACAGCTCGGCTCGGCAGTACAAAGTCTCATTAGAGATCCGCCACATTATGTTCATTATGTTGAATGAGCTATCATTACATCTTAATAAAGATGGATCAACCACCCGCCGCCAGCCCGTACATCAGCATTTAATCAAAAAAATTACTTTTAAAAAAAGCTCTATCCACTGACCTTGCTTAGTTACATTTTTGCGAAAAGGAAACTAAACAAGCATGCAATTCAGGCTGTGGGTGCCGAATCCTTTATGCTCTTGCAAATTTTAAAAGCAGAAAAATGAACATAAACCGACCTGACTTAAGCTTTGCTTAATCAACAAAAACCTTTCCAATACCTTATATCAATATAATCAGCTATGTATATAACAAAATGTTTTGATAACACTAAGTTTTATGGTTTGAAAAAAAAAGTTATCTCAGTTGTTCACAAAACGAGCGAAAGTGCAAGAGCAATCAATAAATTGCCAAGCTAAATAGTAATAGTTTTAAGAGTTTGCAGCTTAAAGAAGTTTTATTAATTCAAGCTTAACGGAAACAATAAAATCTGAAAACCATACAAACGCATCTCGCAATTCACTGTCGTAATATAGATATTTAAAAACTTGTCAAAAAATGTGCGATACACACCATTTGGATGCCTTCAAGAGCTGCGAGCTTGAGCATATAATCGTCGGACCTATACTTAGACCCTTACGTACCCCCAAGTGCTAAGTGAGAGTGGCACATGCTGAAATTTCCGTTACACCTAAATATTGCGCAACTCCACAAAATATAACTATAAAACTGCTGGTCAAGTGTAAATGTAAACAACGGACGTTTGACCAATGGCCACAAATCAAAATCAAAACATAACATTTATAACAAATTTACATGTGCCGGTGTGATGCGATATGTTAGCTTTAATTAGCGTCTGTGCCCCAATACAACAAATATTTGCACTCTATACGGCGCCATTCTCTACACTCTTTGTGCCACGCTTTCTCTATGGAACTCCAGTCCTAGTTTTTTCCACTTGAATTGGTAATGTAACCAAGGCAGCCAGCCGCCGTATTATGCCATCGCATGCGGCCACCGTGACTTCGCAATTTCCGTGCTGTGGATACCACAGTGTACAACCACAATGTGCATGTAGCATGCAACAACTCTGCTATGCAATTCGGACCTAAATATGCCCGCCCTACTTCTATAATAATGCTGATGATGACAAATTGCTGCCACAATCTGGGAAGCGTTAGTTGTGCAATGTGCGTAATACTCGTACTCGAACAATTGAAAGACCTGCAATCTAGCCTTTTCTAGCCTAAATAAAGAGCCGGTATGTAGTCGCAGTAACAAAAGATTCACACACAGCCCTAAAGATGTTTCAAAACTGCACTGCTACAGTGAGGCTGTACACACATGCTTTAGGTACGAGTACATATAATCGAATAACAATTTGAACATTTCTGATTATCATACATGTTATTACAGTTCATTTCACTTATTAATTATTAAATCAACAAATAAGGGCTGTCAACATAGATTATAATCTACAATACGGCACAATTTCTCGAAACGTGGGGGCCAAGCTATTGTCAAATGTGGTCAGAGACCAAAGTTTCCTAGAAATTAGTAAGTAGAAAGAAAAAATTGAATTTACATTTTATTGAATAGCTTCTTGGATTACTTAGGAGGAGAAGACAAATTAGAAAGAAGAGAGAACAGTATATGTAGAGTATAAAAAAGAGTTCGCTGGAAAATGAGAAAGATCATTATTTATTGAACACAGAACTCAAGCACGTTTAAAATTAGCAAAAATTGCTGCTGGACCAGACTCACTGCGTTCCTGATGCTTTTTATATGCATATCTACTAATATATTATCTATCAGCCATAACAAAAATCATATTTACCAATTTGGTTTTGAAATTTGAATTTGAAATTGAAATTGAAAATTTCTGTCTAATCGGACTATTTAAAAAATACTAGTATGTTTGTAGCTGCCACTAGAATCATGAAGTTTGAGAGGAGTTCTTATAATAGGAACTACATAATTATATTTAAGGAAAATTTATTAATGTGCATTTATCATATAAATGATTAAATGGCTTAAAATCAAAATTGGTGGATAACTGTAAAAATACTTTTGGAACAGCAAGCAAAACAAATCAAATTGTTGTACTTCGCATTGATTTTGGACAGTGTAATGGTGTTTGCTGTTAGCTTTTCATTACAATCCGTCAGCTTAATGCGGCATAGTCACATAACCTTTAATTTCTTGCTTTTAAGATAGATGGATGCCTTTGTGCCAACTCTTGTTGTGGCGCGTACGCCTTGACTTCCCAACTTGAATTTTAGCAGCCTGAGCTCCACTGGGCTTTTAGGCTTTTTTTAAACCTGCCATTTGGGTCACTCGCCCTATTCGCCAGTTTGACCCGCGTACACACGCAACTGACTGACTGACGGCCCCAAAAAACAGATGCCCCAGCTCGGTAAAATTGGGCAGCAACTAGCAACGCAAGTTGCGCCTTAAACACGAACATTTTATAAACAACATAACAACTAATTACACAGACGATTATTGCGAAATCTATGTGACTCTTTCATTCACATTCCTGCCGTAATACTTGAGGCCCCGCTAAATCGTTAGCTATAAACTTTGTGTACAATTGAAATCATTTAATTGCTAATAATAATAAGTAATATAGCTCTGTTGATTTGGCATGGCTATGGATAGTCAAAAAATGTAAAACCAATTACAAAGGTTTTAATTCATTTCTTGACTTCCAGCCGGCAAAAATGCAAACTATGTAGAAATGCGTTTATTGGGTATGGGCAGGCGGTAATGAAAAGCTAATAGAAATCTTGCCATAAATCTCCAACACATGAACGCGTGTTTCATTGTTGGAAGGCCCGTGCTGTCAGGCAATTAAAGATGGCTTTTTTGCGACTTTTTATGGGTTGTCATTCAACAGTCCAGTACTCTTGTTTATAAATTTAGCATCATTCAGCACTAAAACCCGTTTTTATGGTCAATTACAGTTTCCTCGATGATTTGGATCGGTTAGGCGCAAAGGATTATCAACCGACCGAACAGGATATCCTGCGCACTCGTGTAAAGACCACCGGCATTGTCGAAGTGCACTTCTCGTTCAAAAATCTCAACTTCAAGTAAGTAATCGCTATTCTTTGTTGGTTTATACCTGTTCGTGTTCATTATAATGCTATTTAACTTTCAGATTGTTTGATGTGGGCGGCCAACGTTCTGAGCGCAAGAAATGGATACATTGCTTTGAAGATGTTACAGCGATTATATTCTGCGTGGCCATGTCTGAATATGATCAGGTCTTGCACGAAGATGAAACTACGGTAAGTAATCGAATTTATATAATGGATCTAGGTATTTGTGATAGCGTTTTGAATGGCATCTAATTCAACTGTAATTCAACTATTTTTTTATAAACAGTAGAAGAGAACTTATACCTGCATTTCCTTCCCTTACAGAACCGGATGCAAGAGTCATTAAAGCTGTTTGACTCCATTTGCAATAACAAATGGTTCACAGATACTTCAATCATATTGTTCTTGAACAAGAAAGATTTATTCGAGGATAAAATACGCAAAAGTCCCCTTACAATTTGCTTCCCCGAATATACAGGTGGGTTTGGAAACAACCATCGACTATTAACTAATGTAACTTGATTAATTATTTGTATATCTACTGTACACAGGCGGTCAAGAGTATGGAGAAGCAGCTGCCTATATACAAGCTCAATTCGAAGCGAAAAACAAATCAACCTCGAAAGAAATTTACTGCCACATGACGTGCGCAACAGATACCAACAACATTCAGTTTGTTTTCGATGCTGTTACTGATGTCATCATAGCAAACAATTTGCGCGGCTGTGGTCTATACTAAGGAGCGGAATTGGAGCAGCCGAACCCCTTCTATACACGTATTAGCAGCGCGGGAGCACAACAACCCACCAGCATTGATCAAAAACGAGTTATGACAGATTCAACACGACAGCCCAAAGAACTTGTATTTGTTTAGATAAGGAAATCCCAAAAATGATGACTACAATTGATGCAGCAGAACATGAACACAAACACAAACAGAAACAGAAACGGAGACACAAACACAGGAAACGGCAGTTATTTAAAACGCATTTGCATCGTATAGGATTACATTACATGCAAGTACGAAACAGGCGCTTAAACCATGTATAAACGCACATTTATGACATGCTTTATACACGCACACCGACAAACATACATACACGTACATAAATAATAATAACAACCATGCACACTATTTACATTATTTATGCCATCAACGATGCATTGCCATGTCCTTGTACAAGTTATGAACGTACTATAAATGTAACGATGTAATGATACAGCAAATGAACAAACCAAAAAGAAACACTCTAACATTTAAGCCTGATTAACGATAAAGCTGATATAAAGTGAAATGCGAAAGCACACAAGCTCTATCTCTATTGTATTTACAATGAAAAAGAAACAAAAAAACGAAAAACGAAATTATACATAAATGTTAATAAGTAACTATATATGATTATAAATGCGTTCCAGCCGTCTCACATAACTTTCGTAAAATACCAGCGCCAGCCGGTCAAGTGTTGACTTTATTTTTTGCGAAATAAATGTAAATCATAATTCGACGAATCTGTATAGAACCTATGCTGGTTGTTCTGTATCGAGGCGAATAAAAAATAAACAGCTTTTCACTATTCAGTGAAGGGTTTCATAATATGTATACACAGTATGAAAGAAAAAATAGGCAGCAGCGGACAATGAAGAAAAACAGAGGAATGAAAAGAAAACCAGTATACCACCTTGCAGTGCAATGTCAAATAAACGCACACAAACACACACTAATACATTACGCACACATTTGAGAACTCTTTGATTGTGTACGTCATTATACAATATTATGTAGTTATAGCATAGTTACCTATTATTTGTTCAATTTATGTTGCAATGTCAAATATGCGCGCACACAAACATACACAAACACACACACACATCAAAACTATCTTTAATTTGTAATTTATTATGATCTAAATATAGTATAATTCTCTATAATTTGTTGCATTTATGTACATAGCAACGTCGACTTTAAAAGTATTCAACATAACCATGGGTTATCGCACAATATTAGGTTTGCTCTCTTCTATAAATTGTCACTTCATGCAGTCTTGCAGCGTCCTTTGGTCACAGCAAATAATTATAATTAATCTTTTAATTGATTCTAATGATTTATACAAAATAAAACGATTACTGTTATTAGACAATTACCCAGTTAATTATAATTACGAAAGGCGCTCAACTTGCTAAAAATAAATGTGAGGTGCACAAAAAGTAATAGTACATGCCTATAATACATAACTTATTACACATAATGCATACTCAAACAATTTTATTATCAACATAATGTGTTTATTTCCTAAATTAATTGTAATTTATATGTATTTAGCAAATGGCATTTAACACGTTAAAGCTCCGCAATGCTAACGTTATACATTAATTACATTTATTACGTATGCATGTATGTATGTATGTATTATTATTATCCTTATGCAGTCAACGCCCATGTGCATTTGATTTTATAGCAAAATGTACTCCAACACTTTAATTTTGCATATTATTTATTTAAAAACTAATTATTTATGGATATGCCGAGATCTTCCGCTCATTATCTGATTCTTTGCCAGCCCGATTGTTTGACAAAAGTCTCAATATTGTATTTATCTATTAATGCTTCAATATTTAAATGCAATTATATTTTTAGTAAATGCAGTGTAACTCACGATTCTATGTTTAGTAGCGAAATAACACATGTTTAATTAAATAATTTAATTGATACTGTATGTTTAAATAAAAGTAAATGCAATCGGCCCAGTGTAATTTAACAAACGTAAAATAGCATTTCAGTAAACTCTATAAAAACAGATATAAGGTTACGCATTTATTTGAGTACTGTATCATAGGGTTTAGCATTTTTACTTAAAATGAACTAAAGAATCACACTTACCGCACACACTGTAATATTAATCTCATATGTATTTTTTGTTCAAATTGTGAAATTCAAACAAAATAAAATACATTTTCAAATAAAACTATTTTATTCAAAAACAAATGAACTACATAACTTATTTCGCATTTGTTGCAGTACAACCTTTTAGTTTTACAAATTCATTGCAATTTATATAACTGCTGTGTCAAGGATTCTATTTACATGTGTATCTAAATACAGGTGTTATTAGAATGGAAGAGGAATGCATGGTTTAAAGCGCCCGCATACGCAAAGAGTGGATAAAAACAAAATGAAACGCATACAAGAAAACACAAAACATTTGACCATTTTTACAAAACAAAAAAAAAAACAACAAAAAAGTAAAATTCGATGAGAATTCAAAAGTTGAAATTGAATGATTGTAATTATATATATGAATATATATTTATTAACAATTTAATTAAAGCATTACGTACAACATGAAGATACATTTACACAAACTTGTAACTAAAGCTGGTGTAATTTGTGAATAGAAGTGGAGAAAAAACAAAAGAAACAAAAACCAATCTTAAAGAAAAAATATAAAGTAACAAAATCAGTCTAAATATACATATATACATACAAATATATATCGAGATATATATATTTACCTAAAAATAAAACTAACAACTACATACATATGAACTATATTTTTCTCAGAAGCTCTTTATTGAACATAGAAGTACACATTCTAATTACGCATATACATACATACACACATAAATAGATAAAACGTTCATACATACAAAAGACTCCGTATTTTTTACTAAAACCGACTATCATTTCCTCTCGCTTAGAATATCCAGCTCAACATTAAACTAAGTAAAAAAAATGAATGAAAAACAAAAATACAAACATAAAAATATGCCGCTTTCATTAATGATTCATAGCACCTAAATAAACCAATACCATTACTAAATGAAATATAATAATAATATAATATAATTTTTGCGAACACTTTGTAATTATAATATGACATAGTAGCTATAAATAAGTATGAAAGTCAGTATTACATTTTTCCTTACAGACATACTTATGTGTTTGTATTTTCAATCAAATAAACCGCATACACTTCACTAATTTTTCAAATAATTACAAAACTCACTAACGCAACATTTGCAGGACAAACTCATATTTTTCTAAAAGCTCATGCAAGATTTTGCTCCGATTTTTACTGAAACACAGACACAGGCCACAACACTACTACAAAAGTGTATAACCAATATTACTTTAATAGCAGTTAAACGGAATTTTTAAGCAAACGATAATATGAAAGTGCAATGTGCAACTGCAAATCAAAAGCCAGTGGCGAACATGACATAGAAATGGATTGTTTTTGAAAACACCTTATTTAGGTGATGCAAATTTTTAGCAACAAGCGAAAAAACTGCAACATAAAAAAAAAATTGTAATACATAACACAAAAATATATGTAGAGAGAAGAGAGGAAGCGATCAAATACGCATGTGGGATATGAAGAGATGTTTATGAACGAGAGTTTATAGGTAGACAAGCATAAGATATTATATCTAATTTGTAGCCTAACTCAAATTGCTTTAGTTGTCCAACCATCAAATTTATGTGTCATATATGTATGTATATTAAAACTAAATACTTTAATTTGAAAATTATGTGGTAAAGAAATGAACAAATACCTATGCACAAGCTTGCAGTTAAAAGCTATTTGTTTGTTTTCAGGGGTCAATGGTAAAATGTAATTTTCAACCTGTTCAAACCAATTTTCAACATGTGCATAGTCCTCAGCTCTGAACCAAGAAAAGTGTAGCTGAATCCCTATATGAAGTTTTTTAATTGAAACGAACAGAGGTAAACTGAACTTACTAAAATAATGGATATTGAAATGAAATTGAATCGTTGAATTAAAAATTTGAATTTAATATAAAAAATAACATGAAAAATAATGAAAAACCAAAGTAAAATGTTTCTATGTAAAAGAAACTTAAAGTGTTAGAGATCATCTAAAATTTAAATAAAATTAAATAAAAACATGTTTTTCTTCGTTTTCATTTAAAAATATATATCAATGTGGATTCGTCATCACACAAATAAGTATGTAGCCAAAGGGTTAAAAGGCGTACAAGTATATTTGTATACAGAGTATATAGATACTGTATATAAAGCAAGAATCTGGATTTACATCATCATTCATTAATTTGTATTGCAATTTTCATCATCGTAGAAGTGAATTACAGAAAATTAGACATCTTACTCAGTATTTGCAGTTGTTTTACGAGTTAAGTTGGAATGCCACACTACATTCAAGTCACAGGCTTATCTGAGGACAGTGCTTGGTGTTGTGTTCCTCCATAAATTCATTGTCTGTTCTTCAATACCTGCCATATAGATGGTTATGCACAATCTTTTTAACGTTTTGGGCTTAAATTATAACGATATTTTCCACCACTCACAGCCAAACTCTCCTTAAAATCTTTCTTTTCAGCGATCTCCGGCAGAATCTCTGATAAATAAAACCGGCTCCTGTTTTTGTTTGCTTTTTATTAATTTGTAGTAAATTAATTAGCCATTAATAAATACGGAATTTCGTTTCTCTGATAATTGATTCATTAAGAAATTTAGTTTGCTTTTTACGCCTCTGGACAGTTGGCAAGTTAAATTTCTTCAATGGGACGGAAGCGTATTTTAGATATTAATTTAATTTGATTATAATTTTCCTATTCTGGCTCCTTACCTTATAGGCTTTATTGTTAAGTTTGTATTAATTCATCTACTTGTATGTCAACAGCCTATGCTTATCGACATAAAATAAAAATTACAAACGAGTACTTGTTCTGTACCTCTTCGTCTGTTCTTTATTTGGATAGATTAATAGCAGAATATTTTAATGCTATTTTAAAAGTTTCATATTTTTTATTATAGGTTAAATTAGGGTGGCTATTGCAAACACTTTTATTCTAACAGTTTCTTTTTCGACTTGGGCGTCGAAATAGTTCGCAATGAAACTCGCCGTGGTGTTCTGGTCTGATGCTTTGGCGTCGTGGGCTTAGCCGCCTCGACAACCGCCGACTCATCGTCCTGTGTATCTTCATAGACCAAGCGAATGTCTTCGGTACGATCGCTGGAGATTTCATTGAGTGTCAATTCTGGCGGGGGCGTTGACACATTAGGGATTTCTTTAACCGGTGTTTTAAGCTTCAACGTGGTTGGTATTGGTGTAACTCCGTCCTCTAGTGGCCAGGCATCCATGGCCTCCTCCACCACAACTGGCGAGTTTACTGGCATTGGCGTTTCAATGAGTACCCGTGGCGTGCGTCGCACAGCGATCGGCGTGGCATGTTTGGCAGACTGTGACTTGGGTGTATGTGTATTGTTGCTACTGCTTCCTGGTGTACGTGGCTGTCGGCGAACTTGAATGGGAGTAACGGGACGACACTTTTTTTCCGGTGACTCGAACTTCTCCTCGGAACTGATAATTTCTTTAGACATGACAATCTCTACAGGCAGAGGTAGTGATATGGGCAGTAAATTGGCTGGTTGTTTTGGTTTACCTTGCAGAGACTCCGCTTCTAAGTTTGCTTTTCGTTTGATTGCAATCGGCGTTGGTCCCTTGTTGCAAGTGACGGCGGATGTTGATTCCGCACATTCAGTGGTCTTTCCTATCATAGGAGTAACTTTGCGCGGTGAGTGGCGGATTGCTATGGGCGTGGGTTTATCTGATTTTTGAATAGTCGGGTTGGTAGAAGAAGACGTTATGATCTCCACTGTGTTTGATTTTTGCTTCTCGTGTAGCGGCCGACGTACGCCTATTTCATCCGATGACGGCTTACGTGTCTTCTGTTTTTTTGATTTCTTGTTTGTTTGGGGCGCATTTTCTGAAAGCTGTGCAACAGCGCTCAACACTGTGTCCATTCCCTCATAGCGCTCCCCCAGTTCACTGGCCTCAAAAGTCAACAAGGAGCAGAACCCGTCTGTGCTGGAAACCACCAGCACATTACCATCACTGGACCACGTGACATCGGTCAGTCTTGTGTAGTGTATGTTCGAGACAATTGCAAATGGTACGGCCTGCTGGGTGTCATAGAAGAAAACCGAACTCTTAGTGGCTACAGCGTAAATAATGCGATAGGGCAGCTTTATCATTGGCGGATTCTTTTCGGCATTGTAAGGTCGCAGACTGTACAAAACTGGAGAGCAACGAACAGCCACGGTGTATTCATTGGGGAAGGGCAGTACAAATGACGGCTGGCTTAAGTTATAGCGACTGAAGCCATAAGTCGTATTTATGGGTTTCACAACACCGTCGTAATCTGTAATGCCCGAAGGCGTGAGAAGGAGCTTCCCATCCGGTGTAAAGCAGAGACGACGGAAAAATGTTTGCAACGTGCCATCGTGAAACAGGCGAACGCTTTTACCATAGAGCTCATGGTCCTCCTTCACAGGCAGTGTCGCCTTGCTGACGCGATGAAGTACCTTTTTAGTATTGGCATCGAAAATACGCAAATGCCTGTAAAAAAATAAATAATGAAGATCAACCGGTTTTAATTTACGGTTTAACGAATTACCTGTCTGTGCTCATTGTGGCAATAAACTGATTACACGGGTCCCATGCCACACCTTGAACATAGCCTTTGTGATCATCAAGAATATTCATTGACTTGCCCTTATGGACGTCCCACAACATAGCTGTGTTATCCACTGACCCAGTCACCAGAAACTGCGAGTTTGGCGCCCAGCTGAGATCATAAATATCCTCCCGATGACCACGCAGCACCTTTTGTGCTATCCATACCTCCTTGTCATGCCCGCTCTGTCCATCCGCATCTACAATGCTTAACACTTCATGCTCTGCCTTTTGCTTCCAAATAAATACTACACTGTCATCGTCACCGGATGCCAGAAGTTCTCCATTGGGGGACCAACGCACCGTGTTCACGGCACGCTGGTGTCGTGCCAAGTCCGCCGCCAGCTCCAAGTCAACTCCCTCACCATCCGCACTGCGATTCACGTACCAAATCAGTACATGGGTGTCTGTGCCGCCCGATGCTAACCGACAAATTGTTGGCTCCTGAAGCCCAACGGTTGCCAATTGAATATCTACGCTCAGAACAGGATCACGGTTGTGCCACGATATTTCAGGAATTTTACACTTCATTATTGGACCTTGCTTTAATAATATATCTGTATTTTCCGGGAGTCCTAAATAGCTATATAGCGTATTCGCGCCCAAATGTAGCTAGTGATGCGTCTCAGTAAAATAATGCTATAACCGATGTCAGAAGACTTTTTTAACTTTTAACAGCACTGCCGATAGCTTTAGATACTCAACCGCAATGTATTCGATATTGCTTCGACAACCGTCCAGCTCTAGCATAAACAGCTGACTAAATAATGCACTGATGATATCGATATCGGCATTTTACAGCACTACTCTGTACCTTTCAAATAGAGGATATCACCGAGATGGTAAATTATAATTTAGGAAGACTTAAATAGTCAATTTAAGCGTTATAGTTAGCTAAATACTATGTATTTATCGAGGTGTGCGCGTGGGTCTTCGACCAGTGAAGGTGGCTCTAAAACAATTTCTCCCGGCACATACGTATATCAATGTACATCAGCGTTAGTCTGCCCACGGCACCATTTGCTTTGTGATAAAAAGTATAAACAATTTTTAATGTTGTACGTATATGTATGTATAACAACCAAGCAGCACATTTAGTGGATACCCTTCATTTGCAAAACACAAATATTGCAACGCCATCCGGTATCAATATCGTAGTGTATAGCTTTAACATAGTCGATATCGACTCAAAATTTCAACAGTATAGCTTATAAACTATGTATTCTTTGTTTTCAGTCCGTTACACTGCACACAGATGTTGGGGATATAAAAATAGAGCTATTTTGTGAAGAATGTCCGAAGGCTTGTGAAAATTTTTTGGCTCTGTGTGCGAGCGATTATTACAGCGGCTGTGCCTTCATTCGAAGCATTAAAGGGTTCATTGTGCAAACTGGAGATCCTAGCAATACTGGAAAGAATGGCCAGTCCATTTGGGGAGACAAATTTGAAGATGAGTTTAAAGAAAACCTCAAGGTAAGTAAGTTCTTCGAGACTTGAGTATTATTTAAATATAGTCAAAATACACATCAAATATTTAATTTACTTTTCAGCACACAGATCGTGGCATGGTCTCAATGGCTAACAACGGGCCCAATGCCAACGCAAGTCAATTTTTCATTACCTATGCTGCCCAGCCCAATCTCGACCTAAAATACACGCTATTTGGGCGAGTTATAGACGGCTTCGATGCACTCGACGAGCTGGAAAAGCTGCCCGTAAATCCCAAGAACTATCGTCCACATGTCGATAAGAAAATCAATGGAGTAACCATACACGCAAATCCGCTGGCAGCATGAAAATTGTAAACATACATTTGTCTTTAAGATTTGTTTATTGTACTTGTCTATCCCTTAAGATATATAATAATTTCTTTTAGTTAATTTAAACTATTAATTGAGAACTAGCAATCATTGTGTAAAATTGCTATTGCCTAATATTAAAATCAGCCAAGTCAAGAGTTTTTATTTTCATTAAAGTGTTTGTATATAAAATTGCATTGCTCTTTTTGTTGCACTAATTTCACGCCAGAACTTTTATAAGACTTTTGGATTCATCCTTCAGTTAAAGTAAAAATCTTAGTATAATGAAAATAAAGCAAATGCAAACAAGAACACACATGCAGTGAGCTCCGCTTAATAATAGTTGCCCTATTTAGATGCACCATTCCCGACCGTTTGCTTAGCGGGTCTCGGATGATCCTTCATGTGCTTCTCGAACATGTCGCGTATATCGGCCAACGCCTTACAAATGTTATCCGCAAATCGGTGAACATTCTGCAAACAAGCAAGTCAAAAGTTTATATGCGATTAGATAATCAGCGATCTAAGCTATCTACCGTTTGTTGGCACGCCTTTTTCGCTGAGATGTGGAAGAAAATGAGGTTTTCGCCAGCTATGATGTAGGAAACACCGTAACCATCATCGGCAACGGGACCGAAACCACCACCGGCACTAATGCAATTCGGATGCTTCTTTAGATCCATTTTTGGAGTTTGTCCGTGTGGTGTTTGACTAGTAGACAAGCGCCAGGGCTCACTGAGCACTTCGTTGAGGAAGGGGGAATCGACTTCCAGGTACTTGGAAACAACGTACAAACAGAAAAGATGACGATCTATGCCACGTCCACACATCGCATCCTGATAGCCCAATTGATGGCGTTCACAAGCGCTCTGTAACATCTTTACACGCTCCTCGTTCTATAAAAGTACAAATTGGTCATTTGAATTGCGCATATGTATAAACATTGTTCACTTACCGAAACGTCAGGATTTTGCATAGCTTTCACCCACGCGGACGACTCAATCGTGCAGGGGCGCACAGTTTCTGTACGACCTTCCCGAAACAGGCGTGTCATCGAAGCTTCGTAAGTGAGGGAGAAGCGTCCAGCATCACGGTAATAGGCCAACTGCAGAGCCATTTGAATGAAAGCGTCAGGCGAAAGACGACATTTCTTCATGAAACCCTTGCCGTACTCTTGATGCACCAATATACGCAGATCAACATCCTAGGAAAGTATTAAATAAAGTATTATTAATCAAAACCAGCGTACATTTAAAGGCACTTACATTGATCAGCTTTGTCACATCCATTCTAGCTTCTTCAATCTGAGATAAACAGGGTGTCAAATCCCAATTCATTTTGGCGGGCATGGGCGGCTGGAATTCGGGAGTGCCTTTGGTATTTCCAGACTCATCATATCTATAGAAAATTCAGATTTATTTACTAAATATTAAAACACTTTGTATTGATCACAATAAGCATAACAATAATATAATAAATGCTGGGGTTTTGCCCCACATGGACTGCTGTCCAAATGTTAGTAACAAGTACATACTTTAGCTTCGAGGCCCCGAAGCTTTTATACCCTTGCAATGCGATGTAGTACGTACTACTTGTACTTATATAACGAAATGATTTTAAACATAAGAAGTTTCTATTAAACAGACCGACAGATATGAATAGTTGGGGCTGGAGCGACGAAATCAGGCGCTATAAATATATGTATGTATGTAAATTTAAGTTACTAATTTTATGTCAATTGAAATACGGCAGTTGCACAAATTAAGCTAAAAGTGATTTAAATATTAGACTGACCGCATTATACCCATTGCAATAGTATTCAATATATATCAATATTTTTATCACAATATCTTAAATTATCTTTGTTTCAAATATTTATTAAAATATTTGCATTAAAGACATTTTAAGCGTTAGGTTTTGGGAAATTGTTCACCAATTTATTGGTGTGTATCCATATGTTTTTGTTTTTAATTAAACATATTTATTTATTTTGAGCTGATGACGTAAATTGTTATATCAACCCAAAATAAGTGAAATATTTTTAGAGTTTTAGTTTACCCATATATATCGTCACCAAATATATATTCCCATAGATGGCCCATAACCGGTGCGTCAGCCCTAAAAAAGGTTATATAAAAACGCATATAAAAATTGTTAGTTCCATAACCATTTTATGAGTAAAATTAATTAAAGATGACTAACGCAGTAGAGCCGCCCCCTTCAGCTTTATAGAAATTTAAAAATTTACCCATCCGTTATAAGATCGTCCATTATTAGATTTTCCCACATGTGTGAGGCAATGGCAGCGTCGGACCTTTTTTCAAAAAGAAAATGTGCATATACTAGAAGCTAACAAAAACGACAAATCTTGGGCAACTCTCACTGAAATATTGTCGCTAAAGGGCCTTCCTCGGAATTTCTCACTTACCAGGTATGCTCGGCATTGAAGCCAACTCGTCCATTGCTGCCCACACAAACAGTAAAGCACTTGTCAAACCAACGATTATAGCCGTTTCCATGCAACAGATTCTTGCCAAAGTTATCCAGAAGTTCGGGCTTCGCCAAATCAAACTCAAAGGGCACATCGTCCAGAGACAGCACAAAAGCCGCCGACTCAATTGTGCGAAGAGAAACGTGGTTGATTCCTCGGGAGAAATACGTATTGCGCACCTCAGCCCACTTGGAGCGATTCCAGGCAGTAAGAGCAGCCAGATGTTCCTCGCCAACCAGCGGTTCAGCCGTAGATTTAAGAATATCCTCGATTTGACTATAAATGTAAAAGATATACATATGTATGTATTTAAATCCAGGTGAAAATGGTCCCAATTCGTGCTTTAAAAATGGCACCGTGCGAACTTACAGTTGCAATTCACATGGACGCAACGTTCGTCCCTTGTAGTAGATCAGCATTTTGTAGTAACAGCCTTTGTGCAGCACCACAATGTAATTGGAGTCCCTGTAGTGAACAATGCGATCGGTTTCGAGCCCCGGAATACGTGCTGTATTGAATGTGCGCTCATATTGCCAGGAACACAGCGGGATCATACCCTGCACCATAATGGGTTGCAGTTCTTGGTGCTCAATCAACCGTCTAAAGTTTAGCAGCAAATAAATGACATTCGCAGCACGTGCCGCCTGATTGTTGGTGAGATTCATAAAGATTGCGTCAGTTCCATAGAAATTACTATTGACACACAAGGGGCTGCGTCCGCGAAGGTACACATACTCCTCCCACCAATCCGATACATAGTTTGTGGCCCACCAGCTCTTTAGTATCAGATACCATTGCAGCTTTTTGCCAATAGTCTGCTCAAATTCCTTCGCCAATCGTTCCATTCGCACATAGTTCTCATCGTCAAGCAGAGGGCGCACGGATCGCAGATAGCGCGACATTGTGTCATTGACCGAAGGCAGTGGCAATCGCGGCAAGGAGCCTTGAAAACTATACAGTCCTGGCTTGTTCCAACTGGACAGCACTCGGACCACTGCCACCCACAACATTGTCGGGATCGACACGCGACTACCCGGCGCTCGTGACTCATACATCCATCCCTTGTACATGAGCAGTAGCTTCAACGTGTAGCGCATGGTAAAGCATATAGAGAGCCAAATGAATAAGGCAGTGAGAAAGCAGGCAGTCACTTGCCAGTTGATTGTGTTCGCAGGGAGATGTGTCAGAATTCTATTGACTAAATTGAATGGCGTTTTGTAGCCGGCAAAATGAAGGCCAAGTGCAATGGCTGAGATCAGCCACAGACTTTGTATATGCGCCGGATAGACACCATTGCGTATGCCATTCTGTAAAGAAATTAGAAAACATACGTGATTGTTTATATAACATAGAGTATAGATGTATGAGTAACTTACCCGCGCACGAGCTACGCGTTTCTTCCATGATCGTACGCCTGAATTCCACACCAAGTTAAGGACCTCCTGATCATAATTTATGTCGAAGCCCTCATGAGTAATAGCAAATGAAAAGGCAACGGCAGCATGGGCTTCAGCCATAGCTACGGCTTCTTAGTGCTACACACTAGTGCAATTCTGTAAAAAACTTTAAAGATTATAGCTATGCTAAATTTGTAGCCGGGATCTATATCCTAAATAAATTACATATATCGATTGGGATTTTACCCCAACAATCTTCCACCGATGAGTTACATGAGCCCAAGCAGAAGTAAAAAGAAGGAGAATAGAGAAGTACTATAGTGACATTGGTTCGCTAATAATTTATCTTACGATTAACAGGTTTGGATACAATTTGACACCAAAGAGGAGAATTATAAGCATGTACATACATATAAGCTTATTAAGTGTGCAGTTTGGCTTATGTAGCTTTGCAATTATGGACAGCGGGGAGAGCAGAGGAAAAGTCATAAAATAAAAAAGGCTCTACTAGGCAGAGCTAATAATAAAATGTCTGAGCTGCCAACACCAGACAATGACTTTACTTATTGTTTAATTGCGCTATTTATTAAAACAATCTTAATTTCTATCTTGTCGCTAAACTGATTACTCCATTTTTTATCAGACTTCTACGCATTAGACACACCGCTTTGTACCCTTCCCTGTCTTAGGTAGAAACGCCTTGCAAAGGTTTTGGATAATCTTCTAAATAATTGTGAAGGTGCTATACACCACACCCAATAAAGCACGCTCGCCTCCTTCACGAGGTTACATACTTGTACATTCGAATCAATCACCTTTTGGTACAGGTCGCAAAAAAGTTAGCACATGATTGCACTTTGATACAAGTATTGCTGACGGGGAATAAAGAGCTGCGCAACAGCCGAGCAATATGCACTCTTTATATATTCCACTTTATTTTAATTAATCATTGTTTACCAGGCATGCCTCTTATAATTTTTATTTCATAACATAGCAGTATCAATTGACGTCGTTTGAAAATATTCTGCCTTTATTTAACATTTCATAAGCTCATTCAAGCTGTACTCCAAAGAAAAGTATTTTGCACAAGATACAAGGTCAACATTAAAGCAAAATATATAAAAAAAAAAACAAATTTAATTTACGATTCATGTTTTAAGGGGTCCTGCTTGTTGCCTTCGCCAATCCTAATAATTTCTCGAGCAAACGATATTTCGCCAATGCTAATATTAATAAAGCTAAAATAGCTACGAGTTGCTAAATTCTTTGCTAGCCACCAATAATTGGTAATTGGTCGCCCTTGGTTATTGTTCCAATCTCTATTATGTACGTTTTTCGTTCAGCAATACTCATCGGTTATTAAGAGAACTCGTCAATGGTGGGTTATAAAGTTTCTTGGCTATCAGTTAATATTCCTGCGAGCAGCACAATAATTGTGAAGCCGTCATTCAAAACAATGCACACAACAAATTAAGTCGAAGATCCCACTATAAATATTCTGTTATTATAGTATTTCATAACTACGTATGTGTATACTTATGTATGAAAATATGTATATGTGTGTTGAGTGACCTAGTTTTATGTGAACGAAGACGCGACGTATACGTTATATTGTATATTTAAACTGAAACCGGCTTTTATGGCTTGTATGGTTTTCGCATTGAAGAAAAGCACAAATAACAACGAAAACAAACGTCGTGGTGTCAAAAGAAGAAACCAAAAAATATATGTATATATACATATATGTATGTACATATTTTATTTTCAATTCTTTTTTATTTGATAATTTGTTTCGCCATTCAAATACGCTGCAGTCTCTCACATTAAACACGCTGGGTACAAAGTCCAAATGTTATTAGCTTTGCACATTTCTGCGATTTTCAACTAACAAGTTTAATATACCGTATGGTTTAAATTGAGTGTTTTGTGTGAGGGTTTTTTTTACTAAGCACACTTTATATAACAATGTTCATACTCGTGCACTAAAGCACTATGAGGTCTCCGATAAGCGAGGCAAATCAAATTCTTATCAGTCACATAATTGATAGTTGGTATAAAAATAAATGTTGGTATTCAAAACGTTTTTTATATTGTTTTGTTTTAATTCATAGTACAAGTATGTATGTATATTGATGATCTACTCATGCACAAACCTATTAATGGAACGTCGCTTTCAATTCGCAATTAATGTTATGATTGCACTGCAATTGATTTACACGTTTAAATCAAAAGATTAAAATAACAAATTAGATTTTAGTTTTTTTGTTTTTGTCTATTTATTTTTTTCCTTTCTTTTACGCAATGCACAATGTAGACGAAAAATTTCAATTCGTAGGCCTACAACTCGATCGCTTGAGTTCCGAGCGCCAACTGATTCAGCTGCGTGGCGAGCGCATTGGGCATTAAAAATACTTAGGAAACGCGAGCGCCAACGAATGCTGAGCAACACACGCGTACTCGTCTGCCTGTCTACAAGTTTGTATGTATGTATGTGTACTTGTGTATATGTGTGAGTGTACGAGTGAATTTACTATGGCAGAGTAAGTGGAGTGGGTGCGTCATGGGAAAAAGAAGGGATCGCTAATTGGTAAGAGTATCGACCGTTCGCGAGGAATGCTTACAAATGCCGCCGTTATAGGAGGCACGAGTAAAATCCTGCAACATTCGAAACACATTTTGCACAAGTGTTATCTTGAATTTAATTCCTTGTGATAATACTGGATAAACGCACTCTTTACAACAATGTTACCTCCTGGCCAGACTCAGATATTTTAAAAGCGTTTGTGTCTATCGATAAGATGCATATAAATAGCATTTATACCTAAAACAAAAATAGCTTGCCCAATTCTTATATACAGGCAATTAAAAACAAAAAATTAAAAAAAAAAACTTTTGATAACGAATAATTATCAAAATAAAACTTTAAACTTTCTTTTAAAGATCAAACAAATTCATATACCCGAAATAGCGAATGTTATATCTGATCTTTGTTGGCCAAGAAGCTCTTCCATCGGCGCTTTTTAATTGAAATTATAAATTGTGAAAAATAAAAGTTTGTCAACAACAAATCGCTTTCTGAATGTACATATGTAAACATATGTAGAGCAAATATCTTATATAGTTATTTATATTGCACTCATTAAGGAGCTCTTAAAATAGTGCTTGAAGATTGTAACAACGCTATTATCATGATTCTTTATCATATTCAACCGAATTGTGGTTCGTACTTTAAAAATGTTTATTTACTTCAGGTGATATTCTGACATATTCACTCTTTAAATAGTCGAATTGCGATTAGTAGTTTAGTTTATAAGCAGTTCAGTTTATAAGTAGTAAGTAGTTTATAAGTTTCAATACTGTATAAAGTCCAATAAAATACTGGAAGAACAATGTGAATTTTTTAATAAAAGCAATTCGTAAACATATACCAAGATTTTAGAGTATGAATATAAATATCTGATAAGAGCAGCATTTGATGTTAAATAAACAATTAGTTTTGTTTATTTGACTCCTTCTTTCTCTATTACTCTGGTCTCTTAATTTATTCCACATACGTGGTTTTAAAATAATAAAAAACGCGATAATCCTTTAATCTATAGTAATATAGTCATTCATCTGTGCTGAGCAGCACACATTTGTATTTTATTTTATGTGAACTTTGAACTTAAACAAAACAAATATTCACTTCAGTCTTTAAGTAGGTACCCTTGAGATTGTTAGGTCTCTAAAGCATCTGACGGTTTAAGAGAGACAGAGAGAGAGAGAGATAATCATTTGAAACCAGTTAACCATATGAACACATATACATACAAATGAATATAATGCATACAAGCAACTAAACTAGAGTTTCTTATCATTCAGATTAAGTATTTTAAGAAAAAAAAACACCTTCGGCGGAGGATAAGACTTTTCATAAGTCTATCTGAAGAGTAACCAAGTTTTATAAAATCATTCTTTCAAATTCCGAAAGGACCATACTCGTACATACATATGTATATTTTTTGGTGGGCATAGCACTATGTGGCGATATAGATGTGTCTGTCTTATTACAAATGGTATGTTGCGCTTGGTCTGATACAAATATCAAGCCGAATAAGACATTGCAAACCCCATGGTATGTAATTATTCAGCATCTATCTCATGCATCGATATGCCTTGCCTGTCTGCTGTGAAATGTTATGTCGGATTGTCTCTTTAAGTAAACCTAAGCACAACATAAATGTTGCAACATATACTTGAAACTTCATTGGGATAGTATATAGTTACAGGTCATAAAGTCTTTAAAAATAAAACTTGTTTATTTATGAAGATATCGCAGCCATATTTAATATTGGGAATTTTGTCATACAAGTAACTTGTAATGTGGCAGGTTTCAGTTCGGACTGCTATCATATAGGTGTAGCTGTCATATCAACACGATGACCCCTATCTTGTCCTAACTTATATTGTTTGTTCACAGAACTATTGTACAATTCAAATAACCGCAGATTCATAAAGTTGTTGACTTGAAGGTAACGTTGAGCGTGACACGTAGAGTAGGACGCGCGCACATTTGTACACATACTCTTGCTCTTAAAAATGTGTATATGTGTATGTACATGGGTATGTGTATGCATTTAATACACTTGTTGTTTACAAGCTAAAGCTGTAGTGACTGCTGGCTGATGTCGCCTCTTTGAGCTTTCGTGGGCAGCCGCCACTCACTTGAGAAAATGAAGAGAGAAAACACCAAGCCAAACGATGAAAATTCGTTTTGGACTTTGAACCGTTGAGAGAACGAAGCGTGTTTGTGGAAGGTACAATACAAGAAATCAAAGCACAGCAAAACACAAATTCAAAGGCAACACAATGCAATGTTACCTCTTTTGTAATGATTTTCATTTTATTTGTAGTTATTTTTTGCATATTTATTGGTTTTGAAATTACTGCGAGCGAATCGGATCGCTGTTCAAGGTAAGGGACTCGTTGCTTATGACCCAAATAATTAAAACAGGTTGCAGCTCTCATTTTTAAAGCATAAGCCTATAAAAACATTTGATTGGTAGAGTGGGGCACTGGGGCAACCAATGTATGTATACAAAACTGTTGTCAGGTTTCCAAATTTGTTTATATTTGTTGGCAAATTTGTAAATGCTGTGCCATCTGAAATAGGATACATAACTGTAAAACGGCACGTATAGGACGATAATATACACATACATATGCATGTATGTAGGGGTCCTTTAAACATACATATGTAATGGGAAGTGGAAAACAGTTCAGGTTTAAATCCTATGTTCGTAGCACTTACTTCGTATTATATAGACTTGTTAATTATATACAAAGTAGTCAAAAACAAAGTGTCTTTATAAAGCAGTTAAATAAGGTACGAGCACACAGAACAGAAACAAAAACACCAGAACAACATAAAAAGGCAATGAAAAGACGCGCGCGCGACGCTATTTCTTGTTGTAAACCAGCCGACGACAGAAGAGAAACTGAGAGTGGTTAAAAAATAAATACATACATATATACGTGTAAAAACGTACAGAGCAGCAAAGCCGTCGCTTTACCAAACATATGATCAAAGGCAGAGCCAGTGGCGTGGTTTTGAGGGGTGAGACTACACATACGCATACATGTATTTACGTATGTAGGCACGTGAATATAAATGCATGTGGCGGTATGCGAATTTCGGACACGTTTTTTAATTTATTTGAATGTTCATCCAACTTAATGTCAGGGCTTTTCATACATAAATTCACATTATTTTCAATTGAAATACATACATACGTATGCACATACATATATGTATATGTATATATAAAAAAATATATACATATGTATTTATATCTTACTATAGTTTTTCACTATTCCATCGATTCAGGAGCAGCTTCAGGTTTTTCCAACTCCTGTTTATCCTGCTCCGATGCTTTGTTAGCCAAGCCACGTATGCTAACGTCATAAACCACCTCTTCGATTTTCTTCACATCGTATTTCAAAGCATCGAATCGTTTGCGCAGGCCATCATTTTTTAGGTTAAGCAGTCTGAAGCCTGTATTTAACTGGCCAATAAAGTGCGATATATTCAAGGGGCGCTCGTAGTCTCCCATTGTAACCGAGTTGGTGGCAAAACGCGAAAGTTCTGAAGCCAAAAGTAAGATGCCTAGCAAATAGTCCTCTATGTCCAAATGAAAACCCTCTGTGTGCTTGGTCTTCACTGTAAAAAAGGACAAAAAAGGATAAAGCTGTGAAGTTCGAAGCTATTAAATGTTGTTTTGAAAACTGCAAAGCCCTTAGCTTTAGAAAGTCTTTATATAAAGTAGGTTTAAGTTAAGAAAAATATTGAGTCCAAATTAGATATTATGAAATTTATTTCGATATACATACATACATGTACGTATTTGCTATTGGTATATTTATTAAAATTTAAACAAAAATAAATACAACCTTACATAATGGTCGAGAATGAAAATGTGCATAAACGGACAATTGGAAAAAATATATGCATGTAGATATGAACATATGTATGTACATACATATGTACATATATCTTAATTCTTACTTACAGTCGAGCCATTCTGCAGCAACTTCACGCTGCACCAAAAATCCGCCTTCCAAGTAGACAACTAGGGCAATTAGAAAGATTAAACGCTGTGTAATGTATGTCCAATGATCGGAATAGCTATGAAAGTAGACAAAGTTAGCGCTTGCAAGACTTCCAGCTTCTACTGCGTGACTCACCGATGATATTGGCCCGCCGGTATAAGCGTGGACAGTTTTTTGTATTTACCGGCACATGCTTCGAGTTGTTTACGTGCCAAAGCGCAGGCGCTGCTTACTGTAACATTTTATATTAGTACTCGTTTGTACAAATGGTACATACATAAGCTTACTTTTAGTTAAATCGCTGTGTATAACTTGCAGTTGAATAGTAGCTTCCTTTGCCAGTTGTTCGATTTCTCGGACAACGACACGGATATTCTGCGTCATGTGGAATTAATAATATAACTAATTCAAACAATGTATGTATGTATGCGCTTCTTACCTCTCTTAGCTCCTGTTCATTGTCTATGTACTTTTGATAATTCAAGAACACCTCCATATTTACGAATTGCGACATTTTGTTTAAGGTAATTTTTGTTTACAATTCTTATACAGCTAATGCAGTTAAGTGTGACCGTGTGCGCGCCTAACACCCATATGGCATCTCTTTCGATAGACGTTCAGTCCCATCTCTAGTCCCTAATCAAAACTAATTTCGTTGTTTAATTAATTTACATCAAAAATGTCATACGTTCGTATTTAGTAGTCGAGTGCATACTTTTAAATTCTAACTAATTTGTTCTTCTCTCATAGGGCAACAATCCGTATGGCCAAGGGGGTGGTTATGCTGCACCTCCCGGAGCTTTTCCTCCACAAAATGCGCAAGTCTCACCACAAGCTCAGGTATGTACATATCTACATACATACTTTATTAACTATTATTGTGTTAATGAGTTATGCTTTTTAGCAATGGTTTGCTATGGTGGATCGGGATCGATCTGGCAAAATCAACTCCTCGGAGTTGCAGGCTGCTCTGGTTAATGGGCGTGGGGAGCATTTTTCGGACAACGCATGCAAATTGATGATTAGTAAGTAGATAAAATTTATTTACATACATACATACTTATATCTAATTTTGTACGAAAAATGCGTGGCTTTCTTGTTTCATGACGTCATGTCAATTTAGCTATATGTATACAGGTATAGGTATATTGTACATACATACATATGTATGTGCTTGTATACATGTGTATGAATACACTCACCATATTTGTAAATATATACACGTACATACGCACATCCATAGACTTAATAACTGCCCGTGTTTGTTTATAATTCATTGCAGATTTGTTGTATTAACTTAAAGTAATTGGTCTGACACACTGGTCAATGTTCAATCTGTTATCCGTTGTCTGAGAATTTAAAAATTATATCGCTTCTCCAAGACATTGCACGAACAGAACGCTAGTTCCCAGCAACTAAAAGTTGCACTAAATATGCACTTTTGCGAAAGGCGACAAATAAGATCAAACGAATTCAAAGTGTGTGTTTCCAATCTCTACGCACAATGTTGCACTCAACATCAAAATACATTCCAATGCTATTTATTTTATTTAAATTATTCGAATACTTACATACTTGTACATCAACTGAATGTTATCCGCAGGCATGTTCGACAATGACGCTAGTGGTACCATCGATATCTTTGAATTTGAGAAGCTGTACAACTACATTAATCAGTGGCTTCAGGTGTTTAAGACCTACGATCAGGACTCATCCGGTCACATTGAGGAGCATGAGTTAACGCAAGGTAGTACTAATTTACTGTAATTTATATAAATCTCTTATAATCGTGCATGTTTATTTATCTCTGCAGCATTTACTCAAATGGGTTTTCGCTTTACGCCTGACTTCATTCAGTTCCTGGTTAAAAAAAGTGATTCTCAGAATCATAAGGAAGTTTCGGTGGATCAGTTTATAGTGCTCTGCATTCAAATTCAACGTTTCACAGAGGCTTTTAGACAGCGAGACACACAACAGAATGGGACAATAACCATTGGCTTCGAAGATTTTCTTACCGTGGCTATAGGATGCTCGTATTAATTGATGTGGCATTCCTAAACAGATTGGAACACATCCATATATGAAATATTTTATTCCATACGGTGCATTTCAATTCAAATTTATGTTTTATTGATTGTCTCTTGTTATTTGCATTGTAATCTCTCTGGCGCAGATAAAACTCACACACAGTACAAAAATTCTTGCGCAATAACAATAAAATTACATTTACACACATATACATTTGTAAAATGAATGTTTTATTTAAATATGAAAATGGCGGTAATTGGTAAAAATGTATAAGGTATCGATTTTTAAATATAATATTCATCTGTTCTTTTTTAAATTTGAACATTTGTGCAGTTATACTGTTTAATCAATCCCAATGTTTCTTCATTTTCGTTAATAAGTTTCGCTTTCGGTTTTGTGAATTAAAGGTACAGTTTTAAATTTATATGGCAAATTTATAACTTAATTTATGTTGCTCAAAAGTATATAAAAAGTGTATATTAGTATTTGTTTTTTGGTATGAAAATCGTGTTTTGTTTTAGTAATTCTTTAATATTTTTTGGTCACGTAGGTATGTAATTTTAAAAATAAAACGTTAAAATACAATTTTCTCAGTCTCAAAGTCAATACATATAAATTCAGGAGATCGCTTAGACAGTCGCTTGTTGCCAAAGCAAATTCATAGATTAAAATACATAAGTATATAGGAAAGCCCAACAACACAATATAAATAAAAACGAGATCCTCAAGTAATGGATGTTTAAAGGGGCAAAATATGTAAAATGAATAATTAAAGTAAATACGTATATATATAAATTTTTGTATATATTTCGTTTCTTAAACCAATGTCTTGGGAAATAATGAGTAGGTGATTTTGGCTTTTTATTTTGTATAGGTATTCGTATGTCCAATATCGATTGTTTTGTTTAAATAAATTTAAATTAGTTTCTGAATTGCATGTATAATATTGTGCTCAAAAATCCTTACATAAAAAAATATAAACGGCATTTGCGTACACGTTAAAAGTTGTATAAAATATCAATCATTTTTCGTCGAAAACAAAAAATAAGATGTAAATAATAAGTTGAGTTCAAATTTCGTATTCCTCAAACTTAAAAATAATTTGATTTTCTTTTGATTGTTCGCTTGATTAGAATTATTTGCATTTGAGAGCTTATATTTAAATGTATATTCCTTATTTTATTTTATAGTTTAACATATAAGTTAACTTTAAATATTTGGGATGACACGAAAAATGACAAGTATATTACTGAAATTCATATAAGCAGTTTTAGAAGACATGAAAGGTGCGTACATTCATACACGTATAAAATAAAGCAAACGCTCGAACGTCATTTACTTAAGCGCTTATTGTCCAATGTTTTTAGTTGTAAGGTGTCCCCTCAGTTGTTTTTTATTTGGTATAGGTCGCATTACAGCAGCTTTCCCTGCTTATTTGTTGCAGTCTATGATCAGTTTCCCCTGGGAATCTTCCGAAATGGAACCACTAATATTTACGCTCACCCCACCTTCCATCTTCATTGAGTATTTAGAGCGACGTTTGCTGGGTAACTGCGGCAAGTCCGTGTGATGCTTACGCACGTGCACCCCAAGATTACCGCGTTGCTTAGACTTATAAGGACAATATGGGCACTGATGCGATGGCTCCTTGCCGCCACACTCCACGTTCTCATGGCGACGCAATGTCGACTTCCAGCGGTATTTTTTGCCACAATGGCGACACTCATAAACAGGCTCACCATCCAACCCAATACCATTTGGACTGGTGGTGCTGCCATTGCTGCTGCTACCGCCATAGTCACTGAGGTTGAACTCAAGATTGCGGAACGCCTGTGCCTGTGCATCAAACATTGCAGGTGAGGCCCCGCTATTGGCCGCGTACATATTCAGGGAGCTGTTGGCAAACTTTCCCACTCCTGCCTGTTGCTCCATTAGGTGTATGTCATCAAAGGCATGAAAGCGAGCATCATCCTCATCTTCGGTCGATGACCCAGGTTCGTTTTCGCATTCCGAATTGCGCATGTCGCGTTCCTGCTGTTTGCGCAATAGATTCTCCAATATTTTGGTGGGTGTTACATCATTACTACTATCAGTCTGATCCTGTGGCGTGTGCTGGCGTAAAATCTCCTGCGCGCGCAGCTGCTGCTGGAAGCTGTGAAGCCCATTTCGCATCAGTGCTTCAGCAATAACCGCAGCTTGCGGCTTATTGATAAGCCCAGCGGCTGTTGGCACATCTGGTGTTTGACCTGCCACTGCTTTGTTGACCACCAGCACAGATGTTGGTATGGCCGAAATACCTGTTTCCAGGCCTAAGACTGGAGGCACTTTGGCGCCGACCGCTGGTTTTTGTGTGTACTTGAATCTTGGATGAAATGATGTTCCAGCAGCGGCGCTTCCTACAGGATTCTTGTATGTTGACATCACTTCATCAGCCAGCAAGTTTTTTGAAGCCGTCTCTGAGGCGGCGCCATACACAGCTATGGCAGCAATGCTTGAGGGCTCCAGAGTTTCAGCCGAGGTGGGTGAAATCTGACCGTGCTTGCCCAACTCATCTTGATCCAATTGCTGTTGTTTGGGTGCCTTGGCCGATTTGGTCTTGTAGAACTCAAACAACATATCCGATACTTCGGAAACAGACAGACGCTTACGGCGAGAGCCTCCGACAACCTTTGTCTCCTCACGCTTGACATTGAGAATGCTTCGCTGAAGACTGCGCTGTATCTCGGGTGCGGTGTTCTCTTTTCGGCTTAGATCTGGAAAAGCAAGCATACTAAATTAGTCACAAGTGCAATTTTTAGTTAAACAAACAAATGATGTGACAATAAAATGACCTATAGCGTGATTAATGAAAAAGCAAAACATATTTTTAGCTCGTTACTGAATGTGAATCCCGGAACATTGCGCTGAATTGTGGTTAGTTGTTTGAAAAGATTAAATTATAATGAAACTGCTTAAATAAAATGCAAATACAATACATGCAAATAACTAATAAAAACAATGACAACAATAATAATAATTGAAGCTATGAACACATAATTTCAACATTTTTTATTTTTATTACACAACATTTTTTATAAATGAAACTAAAATGTTTAAAGCCGCCATTGCCATTGGGTGAAATGTATGTAAATAAATGAATTGAGTTTAGTGTGTGCGAAGATTATCGAATGTAGTGTAGATGGAGTGTGAATTTGGCAACCCGAACCATAAACTCGAAACTCATTACCTTGGTTATCTAAAAAAGAAAGAAAGGGATAATAGGTTAGTTGCAGTTGTGTTCTTCTTTGCAATTTTCAATCTGTGGCATGTTCTCAAATTCAGCGACTCCTTAATTCCCAGACAGTCTGAAAATAGAAAAAAAGTCAACATGTTATTAAATTATATTCATTATATAAATGAATTGGGAAGGGCAGTTGTCATTTGTTTGAAGGGCAGCTCAGAGCCAACTGCGATGCGTGCGTGTATGAGCTTCTAATTGAAATCTAATTCAATTATGCAGTTTTGAAATTATTGTTTGTTTATATCACACTAACTTCAAAGCTTTCGTTAATCAATTCAAGTACATACATACATACAAGTATGTAGCTTAATTTACACATACACACAAGCACGCGCAACAGTCGCCCGGAAAAGCGTCCTCACTGCAACACAAACGAAACTACACTAGTTGCCCCTAAAACACAAGCAGCTTACAATTTTCCAAGCATAGCAAGCATAGCGAGCAGGCAAAAAGATCCTAAATGCAATGCGCAGCTGCAACGCAGGCAAACATGGAAAAATCTCGTTTCCCGGCATTTGTGTGTGTTGTGTTGAGCTCTCTACAAGTATATACATTCGTATATAGATACTTGCATGTGTATTTGTATTTCTAAATTTATACATATACAAATGCACATACATACATATGTCTGTGCATACATATTTGTGGCAAGTGCACGCCAACTCGGGCTTAAGGCATGTTGTGTCCTTGATTTTTTTCTACTCTGAACTCAGATTTTGTTTTCTACCTACTACCCGATTTGTATGGGTGTATTCCGTTGTTTTATTTCTGGCATGTTCCAGGCTAGATTTGGTTCTCAGGAAACTTTCTCTTGTGCATGAGCGCAGTGAGAGTTTTAAGTGCGTTTGGGTTGAAAACTGACTTGATTGGAAAGCCCTTGCGCTGCTATTCCGTAAGTGCATGCATAGAAACATATGTATGTATGTATGTACACATTTAAAAATGTTTATAGGAAACATCCGGTGGTTTATAGGTGCATATGTAATTCTATGTATTTCTATGCATTTCAAGGTCAATAAGTGTACATATGCTTTATGTACATATGTATTGAATATGAATTGTACTTAGGCTTTCGCGCAGCAAAAGTATAAGAAGTCTAACGTACAATTAATCCTGTTTAATACTTTGAATTAATCAGTGAATTCCAAGAATTAAGTATGTACATTTTTACAAAAACAGAAAACAGTACATAGCAATACCTAGAAATGCGCTCATAACATTAGCCGCCAACGCTCACAATCCCTTAGAGCTTACATAGGAAAATATTCTGCCAGATGTAAATATGTAAGGAAGTACATACATACATACATATGCATGTATGTATGTATGGATGGCGCGCTTTGCGAAGGCAAAGCCTAAAAAGGAATTTAGAATTTTCAAAACATGAACGTTGGTGATAATCGGACAGTGCTGCATATGTGTTCTTTGTGTGTGTGTGTGTGTGTGTGTGTGTGCATTGGTGCTGCTGCACCAAACAAATTCGTTGACTATGAGAACTGATAGCCTGGCACAGGATATAAATACATACCTACATAAATACAACAGAAGAACTGTGTGTATGCACACACATGCATATGGTATATACATACAAATATATATATATATGTAGTTTGTTTAGGCGCACAAATGCGTTTAAGCTGAATGTGTGTGGGTGAGAAAGGGACAGTGCAGAGGGAGTACAGTTAGTTGCATTTTCTTGCGGAAAAGCGAACTTGGATTTCTGCACGTGCACCCTCAATGCTTCACAGTTGAAAGGAAACCTGTTTTCGTGATAGGATTTGGGGTGATTTTAGCCTGCTTGTAAGATACGATTCGAATTGCTATTTTTCGATCGTACATTCTGTGCATTGGAAAGGGGTGGACTTGAGTAGTTCACTTTTTAAATTAATAGGATATTAAATAAATAAAAAATAAATAAATATTCACCTGATGAGCCTTATTA